ATGAAACCCTAAACGGCCGCCCTTTCAGAAACCCTAAAAATTATCTCCCTCACGGAGCTCAAACGGCGCCGTCGAACACTCTCAATCCAGCAACCCCAAACCGTTTAACATCACCGCCTCAAACTAATCCCCTTCTCCAAAGAAATCGATTTCCGCCTTCATTGTCACTTTCTTCAGCCCTCGCCGTGAAACTTTCTCCATCACCAAAAAACCCGATCCGCAACGATCTCCTATCTCTTTCCCTTCCATCATTCTCAAACCACAAGGAAACCTCCGAACTCACTCCGCCGGAAATAAACTTATGATGAAGCCAACAACGCCCGACAGCAAGGATTTGGCAGGGTGATTCAAGATGACAACAACACTTCATTCAGTCCATTAGTAATTCAAGCCAGTTTCGAGAGCATGAAATTTTGAGGGTTTTGTGGTCGCAACAAGGTTTTTCAGTTCATCATACATTGGGTCCAAAGGAAATCATGACTCACACCTTCAGACATGGTTGTGATTGTCGGCATCTCGTTTAGTTCTTAGCCTCAGCTTCAGTTGTGAATAATTTCTGTGCAGGCTGCGATACCGTTGAAAGAAAATCCTAAACGAGAGGGATTCACAATCACGACACGTAATGACGTTTCAAGTTTATTACGACGCATCATCTCTCCGTCCGTTCAACAAGCAACTCAGCGCGACTACGTCATAGCTTTTACTTTCAGATTGACAATGAATTTCGACACTGCGGTAACATTGCAGATATTGTTATTTTTCTGTCGAATCTAAATTTGCTTTTCAAAATTCATATTGTATTGCTGAGATTATTTTGAGTATTTTGAATGTTTTTCCTGTTAATCTACTGTTATTGAAGTGTTCATAGGGATTGTTGGTGTGATTGTGTTCCTGTCGTAAGAAACATATAATTGGTATACTTCTTGTTAAATTTGATTCACTGCTTCATGTTGGAGTTCGTATGTAAGATTTAAGTGAGCAACTCACACGATTAATGCTTGTTATGTCATATGTTAAATATATTGCTTGTTATGTCATATGTTGGTTTGATTTAGAATACATTGCTATTTGATGAGAGTATAAATATTGTTAGCAGCGTGTATATATATCTGTGATATAGTTTGTTGTGTGATTTGGATAAAATCAAGAATTTAATGCTACTGGCTATGTGTAAATGGCTATGTGTAAAGGCAGGTTAAATCAATTCGCATCAGGATCTCACAGCATGGCTTGGAACTTGTTATTTTTGCTGCTGTTAAGCTCTTTAATTAGCTGTTTCCCGAAAAAAATTTAGTTTAATCTTATTAATCATTTTTTTTTGTATTTTCACTTTTCAGATATTTTAATTTGGTATTAATAATCTTAATGTTCAATTTTAATTCACTTAATTGATTTAATTAATTTCTAAACAAAAGTTCTAGATTGTTTTTTTATAATATTTGATAAGCTTAATATTCATATCTATTTTAAATAAAAATCTTTTATTATATTTAGTAAGTAGCATGTTTTTAGACAGTTCGAAAATCAAACCTTAGATTTTTTTCAAACTTACTTTAACTTTTGATTAATTTTCTAATCTTAATATAATTTATTTTCAACATGAATCATTTTTTTTAATCAATAACGAAAAAGAACTTTTAAGGTTTAACATCTTTTGAGTTCTTGAATAATCACTATTGGGGCGTACGCCTTGGGTAGTGACATTCGACTCTTCGTTTCAAAATATACCTTTTAATTATTTAGACAAAGAAATGTCATTGGAGTCTAGCATTCCACATGATACTTTCACTGTTTATTTTAAACAATATTTCACAAATTAAATCTTTGAAGTCTAGCACTTCTTGAATTTTTGGACAAACATTATTGGGGTGTCCACCTTAAATAATATGTCATTCAACCATTCGTTTAGTACGCGATTTAGAACAAAAAATATCATAGGAATCTAGCATTCTGTGTGATATTTCCGCTGTTCATCCAAATTTTTTTCAAATAAAAATGGTGTTATTGGAATCTAGCATTTCGGTAGTACCCCGATTATTTAGTTGTGGGGCCGACGTCGCATTTATTAAATAATTGATATTTTCAAATCCAACCTCGCGTTCTCACTTCTCACACGTTCACAAATTATTTTCATACCCCATTTCATTTCAAATTATTTTTCAAACATCTTTTTCGATTAAAACTCCGAAAGAAGGAGATTCTTGTAATCCAGCATTCCTTGGATTTTCGAGTGAATAATTCTTGAGGCACGCTCTTGAGTTGTTATTCGCTCAACCTTTCGGCTCTTTCAAATTCAATCATTTTTAAATATTCTCCTAAGTCGAATGCTCGTCCGTATTCGCAACCCATTTCATTCACAATTCCTCGTGGTCTCGATATTAGGAGCACCCTCAGGGACTAATATCGTTTCTCACAACCTTAACACTTGACACGTCGTCAAGTCGGTTCCATCTTCAATCAAATCTTCGACACGTCGTCGAGCCAGTTCAAAACAACTTCCTTTTGACCTCGCATGCCATTCTTCGATTCGATCCTTTCACAAACATTTTTAAAACTTACGAAAGAGAGATATTCTTAGAATCTAGCATTCTTTGAATATTTGAATGAGTAACTCTCGAGGCGCGCCCTTGAGTTGTTATTAGTTCATTCTTTCGATTTCAAAACATCCAACTCTTTATCTTCAATTTATTCAGTCAATTCCCGATAGAACTGAGTTCTTGGAGTCTCGCATTCCTTGAATTCTTGAGTGACAAGCTCTTGAGGCGTGCTCTTGGGTTGCTTGTCAGTCACTCTTTCGTCTCTTTTCTCAAACTCCCAACTTTTTCAACCTCATCTTTCGTGGTTGTTGCCACGAACTACGACTGCTCTGATTCTTTATTCATTCTTGAATATAAGATACGTAGGCACAAGATTGCGATGATCTTGGCGAGCACACTTCTATCCATCTTCCGCTTCCCCCATCTTTTCCCGGAGTCGAACTACGATGCTCTGATTTCTCATTCTCGTCCGAATGAGCATACGTAGGCACAAGGGCCCCAATCCTTGGCGAGCACCCTATCTTCTAACCACCCATCTCTCCTTAGCGTCTTTAACCTTTTACCCTACCAATTTTAACTTTATCAACGAGAAGAAAACAGGTAAACCTAAAGCAACACTCCCCATAATTACCTTAAGAGGTTCCCGTCGAGTACGATGGACGTGAGGGGTGCTAATACCTTCCCCTCACGTAACCGACTCCCGAACCCGGAACTTGGTTGCGACAGCCCTGTTCCTATCCTTTCGTTTTCAAGAGGTTTTCTCGATATTTTCCTCTCCCGTTTATTCGGGAAAAATAAAGTTCGGTGGCGACTCTGTCGAACCGCATTTCCGCGCCTTTCGCGCGAGGGTCGTATGTTCGAATGAATTTTTTTGAGGTGCGACACTAGCCAAAAAGATAGTCCAACAAAATCTAGAGAAGTCATCCACTATTACAAAACCGTAATAGTTTCCACCTAGGCTTTTAATTCTAGATGGCCCAAATAAGTCCATATGGAGAAGCTCGAGAGGTCTCGTAGTTGAGACAATATTTTTGGATTTAAAAGAGATTCTCATTTTCTTTCCCATTTGGCAAGCCTCACAAAGGTAATCCTTGGTAAATTTTATTTTGGGGAGACCTAAGACTAGATCTTTTGAAACTACTTTATTTAGCAAGTCAAAGTTAACATGTGATAAACGCCTATGCCATAACCATGAGTCTTCATTCATTGTCATGAGACATTTGTCACTTGTTAACGATACCTCATTTAAGTCTAGCATATAGACTTTGTTCACTCTTAGGCCATTAAACATATTCTTCTTGTCATCATTATGCACAATTTTGCAACACTCTTTTGAAAAAGATACATTGTATCCTTTGTCGCATAATTGGCTAATGCTAAGTAGATTATGTTTGAGACCCTCGACAAGCAACACATCGGAAATAGTAGTGGAAAAAGGGTTACCTACACTACCTTTACCAAGTATTGCTCCACGATTATTATCACCATAGGTTACATACCCTTTCTTGTTTGCCACGAAGTCTATGAATAGGGATATGTCTCCAGACATGTGTCTTAAACATCCACTGTCGAGAATCCATCTTCTTTTGGTGGTCTCGACACATTGTACCTATGAAAAAATAATCAACAAGAGGAGGTACCCAATGGCATATTGGGTCCTAATTTGTGAGTGACAAAGTGGTTGCATTTGGGCAACCATTGATATATGCCTTTAGGAACCAAGAATCTCTTAAACCGGCATTTAGCAATGGAATGGCCTTTCTTGCAACAATATAAACATGAAAAGTCAACTTTAGAATTGCCTTTGCTCTCTTGATCCCTTATTACATATGTGTATTTTTGATATGGATTCACCATACTTTTTCTAAAATCATCTTTATCGATAGCAAATGTAATTTTGGGCTCAAGAGCCTTGTTAAGTTTGGCCTTTAGGTTTCTAACTTCACCTTGCCAAATATAACAAGTACGCATCCAAAGTTGAGGAATTTGCTAGGATCCTCACAATCCGATTTATTACTTTCCACCATGGAAGCCTTAAGTTCCTCAAGTTTCCTTTCAGACTCTTTAATTTTGTGCTCTAGGTAAGTAAAAATTCTTTTATTAGAGGCAAGTCTCTTAAAGGCTTCTTTTGCTTCATTGTGTATAGTATTAAATGCGACTTGTAATTCGAAATGTGACATTTTTGAGGAGTTTTCATATTTAGAGTGACATACCTGTTTTTTCTTATTCTTTTGGTGAGCGGAAAGACATAAGTTCACAAATTCTTCTTCATCACTTGAGCTTTCATCATCAGAGGAGGAGTCGCTATCGCTTTCCCAAGCTATATATGCTCTTATTGGAGTAGCTCCGAGACTTACACTATTGCAAACTTCTAGGTTCAATTTAATGATATGCTTTTAAAACCTTCAACTTACAAACACCTCATTAAATTCACTGGTGGGGACCAAAGTTGGGGATAGAAACATGCACCAAAATGCAGACAAGGATTGCAAAATAACTCCTTTAGTTGATATTATACCTAGCAGGTGGAATAAAGATTTACTTATAGGTGACACTATGCCTTTCCTTATGTCTTTACTACTAATGTATTTATGTTTTCATTGTATCAATGTCATGTTTTCTGTCATTATTACAGATGTTATCGGAGTGGTTGATGAAATAGGGTACACACACGCTCAAGTCGGTGGTAAGAAGCAGCTGATCAACTTCGTCATTCACGACTTGAGGTCTGTTTTGGTTTTTTCATGTTCACAACAAGCTTATGCTATAGTTATCCATCTTATATTCCCATTATATTTACAATAATTTTGAAATTTTCTAGCAACAACACTATTAATTGTACCCTATGGGAGGCGCACGCAATGCAATTTATCAACTATATCCAACAACAGACTGATTCTTCCATTCCAGTTGTGGTTTTGATTCAATATGCAAAAGTTAAAGAAGAAATTGGTATATTTCTCCCTTTTATTTTTTCCTATGTTTGATCACAACATGTATGTTAATTGATTCATCTATTTGTTTTTGTAGGCAAATATCCTCTATCTGTGACCAACACGTACAATGTCACCAAGTGGCCATCAATGAAGATTTGGAATCAATCAAATAATTTGTCAACAGATAATTTTTAATCACTTCTATGCATTTCTTCATACAATTTTATGTTCACAACAAATTCAATGACTTTTTTTTTGTTTAGGATAACAAAAGATACATTGATGGCCCTCTCTAGCCATCATAGTCATCAATCTCAAGGCCGGTCTCAAAACTCTTCCGCTTCTCATCAAACTCCTTACCAAAAATTGATGTCAAATGCTGTAGTTCTTCCTCTTGAGCAAATCGTTAAACTAACAGAGGTACTTTCACTATTGCTTAACTGATTGTTCTATGATATTGTTTACAAACATTGGTTTATGTTGTGCCTTGATTTTTCTATTTTGTTTATTACTTTTCTATTCAAACATATAACTTTTTGTGCAACTGTTGCTACCACTAAGAAACTATTTTCATCAAGATATGGCTGGTACTACCTGTTGCGGTGAGAATCGAATATCAAGCTATTGAATTAACTTGAATCTTAATTCTTAAATTCACAACCGGACTTTAATTTATCCAAAATAGAAAGGTTTAAAGAAAGAAAAACCTATTAAAATGCAAAGCAAAAAGCAAGGCTTAAAGCCAAGCAAAGAGATCTAAAGGTTCGGGGGTTGGTTATACCTAGGGAAGGTGTTAGCATCCTAAGTATCTGTAGTACTCTACATGAACCTCTTGTTAGTATTTGTGTTATGCTAAAGTTGCTTGCTAAGGGAAAAGTGCTAAGGTAAAGACCTAAGGGTATATACACTAAGTATGCTCGCCAAGACATCACATCTCGTGCCTACGTATCCTGACGGGAATGGAATCAGAGCAATCGTAGTTCCCCTAGCTAGGGGTGAGGAACTCTTGACTGTGGTCAAGGTTCCAAGGGGATGTAAGCATTCATAGAGAAGTACTTACATGGAGTGCGATGACTCTTGAATCTACATTGAGAATATCCACTGCGGGACGCTAAAAAGAGCACGACGACTCTGATCCTAAGGCTAGGATAAAAGGATAAAAGATGTCCACGGCGGGACGCTAAATAGAGCACGGCGACTCCAATCCTAAGGTTAGGATAAAGAGATAAGTTGTCCACGGCGGGACGCTAAAAGTGAGCACGGCGACTCAAATCCTAAGGTTAGGATAAAGGGATAAATTGTCCACGACGGGACGCTAAAAGTGAGCACGGCGACTCAAATCCTAAGGTTAGGATAAAAGGAGAAATGTAACTAACAATGTCACAATCGTGTAAACAATAGGTTCAAAACCTCATAGGGATAATCAACAGTTTTAAAGGTGAGCCACTTTGAACATTATATGAAAATACACATTAACATGAAAATTTAGCAAAAAGAATCAATTTAAAATGATTAAAAATAAAGAAGTTACGGTAAATTGGAAATTAAATGAAATTAAATAAACTTAAACAAACTAGTGCTTAAAAAATAAGAAATGCCTCACCCAAGGTTTGAACCCAAGACCTTGGGGTCATAGGCTTAAAACATAGCTAGCCCAACCAATCCATGCGTGTGAAACATCATGGAAAAAGAACAAGAAATAGTAAAAACTATAAAAATTATGAAAATGCTCAAAAGTTTATCCTTGCTGAGGATCAAACTCATGTTAAATGACAAGGCAAGATACTTAAAGGCATGGTGACAACCACTGGGGTGGCGATACATCCATTGTATCCAGCCACCCCAGCTCAACATATGCTAAAAATGGAGCGCAGGCTGAGCATTGGATAAGGCAAGTTCAAAGTAAAACTCAAAAGCAGTTTCAATCCAACTCTTTCAATTCTCCACCAATTTTGATGAAATTTGAGTCTAAACCACTTGATTTTTCATGAGGATTACAATGGTACAAACCAAATTTTAAAATAATGTACACAAAGAAAAACACGAATGCTCATGCAAGGAGAGAAATTGAAATGCATTTTGCAAGTTAATGACCAAAACTGATGAGTTTGAGATCCAACAAAAGTCTGCACAAGCTTGAAATATAATACTCATGTATTAAGCTCAAAGGATAATCTCAGTTTCTCACTTAATCCAAAGATGACCATCAAGTTGCAATTTTAATGAAGTGGTTTCAAAAAGATTTATGCAGCATGTTATAATGTTAAAATAATGCACAGAGGCAACAATCACTTCTCAATCACAATGCCACAAGTCAAAAACTTTTACATACACCAATTACCAAGGTCTCACCGATGGAGTTCGAAAGTGTTGGAGTTTAATCATCATTTTTTGAAATAGAATGCAAACAGCAAGTCAAGGCAAAATGCTTTTGGTATTTCAATCAAATTTGATGAGTTCCACAAAACTTGAAAGTCTTTAAATGCAAAGAACAAGGTTAAGGAGGTTTTGGTTGAAATATAGAAACAATAAAATCTCTTAACTCAATCTGTAGCAGGTTATGAATTTTTAACACACATGAATGGTCAATGGTCATACCAAAATCTACTGGTATCAGAAACTGAACAAAATTGAAAGAAAAAAACCACAACTGACTGTCACTTCAGGTGTTTCGAACAATGTCAACAATGAATTCCCTTCATTGCACTCACAATAAGTTGAAAAGAAAAATGAAAGCCAAACAAAAAAGGATTCTTTCTTATTAACAGAAACGATTCACACATTGATCACTAATCAATCAAGAATCCTTTATATAGAAGCCAAAAACAAAAACCGACTCTTGGCACGCGAAACTAAAATTAGCAGCTACTAAACATGAACATTGACATTACAATGTCAAAACTGGACCTTACCAATTGTTACACAACAATCCACTTTACAAAAGCAAAAGAACTTCAAATATTGTCATAAAGATAACTAAAGGCTAACTGTCATGAATTCGAACAGTCATAACAATGTCAAGATAGATGGACAACATCATTACAAAACTATAAAGTCCAAAAACCCTCAAACTAAACAAAGTCTTCATGGTAGGGTATCTGCTCAATTTCAAAACAGCAATCAGATCAAAATATGGTGCTTATTCGCAGTGGAATGTTTGGACTAATCCATACAGTAATGGTATGTCAAGCTATGTTGAATTCCATCCAACATGTTTTTTTTTCAAACAAAGCAAAACTATGGCACAAATCAAACAGAAACAGTCATCAAAACATACCACCCTACAACCAAACAGCAGTCAAAAGACCTTGCCTCATGGTTTGTCAAGGTGAGTTAACCAACTCAAATCAATGATAAATCCTGACAGAGCCAAAACAGTAACTCTCATGGCCATAAACACAAGCAAACCACACTCAAATGAACCTATGCAGCCACCAAGACCTGACCTCTACAAGCTCATCAAATCTGTCATCACAAAGTTAAACCAAGGATGAAGTAGTCCACATAAAGTGTCATAATTCTAAGTACATCAATGTGAGATGGCAGGTCCAACTTCATACAAAACTCAACAGCAGCCCCTGAGCAAAGAACTCCAAAGACAGTTCTATAAGAAGGTTCTACTTATGCTAGATAGATCCAAGTAATTCACTAAGTGAAAGTCCATACACAACCAACATGATAATGCTGGCTTGAACCAATTAAACCTAAACCTAGACTTAAACCTAAACTTAAACAGCTCCAAAATAGCCTTGTTTATTTCAACATAACAATGCTAGAGTAACCACTAAGTCTCATAAATCCAACTACCTAAAATAGATAGCATCAAAAGATCAATGTAAATACTCCTTCATGACAGCAAGTTAGTAAGGGTGTAACAATATACAACAACAACAAAGGCTTGAAATAATGATGTTAGCCTCAAGCCACCCAATGCTAGACATATCCAAACTATGAACTAAATTGGGGTTGCAAATAAACAACATGACAAAGTTAAGCATAAACCACACACACTAGTTAACAAAAAACATGGTCTGCTTCCAACTAACTTATGATAGTAACAGCTTGTCAAACTCATACACTAATCAAAAACTGTTTTAGATGACAGCTCCCAATATAAATTCCAAATGGCAGTTATTTGAACAAACCAAGATGAGCAGATTTAATAGCAATGAAGCCTAAATATCAAAGACTCTCAATGCAAATGTTCAACAGCAGTGCTTAACCAAACAGATCAAGTGACAGTTCATAAATAAGGTAATGACTACTAACCTCTTGTAGACCTCCAAGCAAGCTTATATAGTAGGGAAAACCTTGATGAGCTCCAGCCAATACCAAGCAGAACTTTGATGATTTTTAGCAGATTTCTTGCTCTTGAAGAAAATGAAAGGAACTTTGTGATAGGTTCAAAAACAAGTTGCAGAGGGTGTTTGATGTTATAGACAGCTGGTAAAATTTTGTTCGATAAGGTAGTAAAATTTACTAATATTAATTTCCAGTCCCGGTTTGACAGCAATATATTTTCTCTTTTTGGCTAAATCATGATTTGGTCTTGCAATTTGATTAGGTAAAGCAAGGTTTAGGGGGTAAAGTACATGTCATTTTGTCTGGAGCAATGTTAGAACAGTGGTTAAGTGTCGGGTTTATATTATCGTCTCCACAGGGAATATCAGATTTTGCTGCCGTTCAACAATTGTTAAATTTATAGTTTAGTGGTATCCAAGGGTTTGTGTTTAAGGTAACAAGTATTTTTCATGAAAGGAATAAATGCGCTAAAAGTTAGGTTTTAACGGTTTGAATAAAGATTGTCAAAGTTAGGTTTTGGTAATCACTTTGCATGTATACTTCCGATCAACATTTAATAAACTCTTTCAAATGATCAATGTATTCACAATATCCTCTCAATATGATTATCTCTAACTCATATTGTGAAGTTTATCATTTTAATCCATTGTTGATCTCTCACACAATCTATCAAAATGACAACTTTAAAGTTCAACATTTTAAGTGAACAAAATCATCCAAGACTATTTCTAGCTCAAGAAAAGAGATGGGTGAAAACCTAGGTCAAGAGTTGGTAAATATTTCTCAATCATTAACCAACACAAAAGATTATGAATAAAACAAAGTTTTCACCATACATTAATCATTCAAGAGTTTACAAATGAAGATCATCCATACAAATACAAAGTTCAATG